GCACACAGGACAAGTCAAAAATATGTTTCTATAAGAAAGCTGCATGTTAGCAGTTATGATATATGAAATGAACTGATTCAGTATATATCTACATATCATCTACAAAATCATTGTCGATATATATATGAACAACCAAATCCAAATATTTTATAATAATCATATTATTTCCACATTATACTCAACTATAGTTTGACTAATTATTAGTAATTAACATAAAATAATTTTTTCTAAATATAGGTGGTTAGATTGTTATCTTATTCTTGTGAGGGTAAAATATCATGAGAATGAATCAACATGATAAAACATAAGTGCTTCTATGAGGGGAGAATTTATAACAAGCATGCTTGGAGGAGCAGATGCTTATCAGGAGAAATCCACTGGACTCAATAGGGACTAGACAAAGACAACTATCAAATTCTACAAAATATTCCTTTAATATACTTGGGAACATACAGTACAGTAGAGTGTCGACTATCCGAATCAATTGGGGACTGGGGTTGTTCAGAAGATCGATGTTTCGGATAACCGATTACAGTCGACCCCCCTATAAGATATAGATACGTTCCAATTTATTAGGAATCCGATTTCTTACAAGTCGTTCCAATACAGCCCGACACGTGTGAAGTTTACGGACTACGGCTGATTGAAAGGTTTTCTTCCATAAAATTAATCGATTCTACACTAATCCGACTCAACATTTCCAAAATACGTATATTTTTTCGTAGTTTTATAGGAATCGTAATTATAGGGACCGTAATTATAGGGGGTCGACTGTATGTACGAAAAAATATATTAATTTATCCCATCTTGACATTTTTCTCTGTTGCGTGTCGCTTTGCGTTGAATTTTCGTCGATGTTAAGCCTAACAAAGACTATTGTATTGTTAAAAATTATTTTTTTATTTTGTACGAACAAAATAAAGATATTGAAAAATATAAAAACAATAAAAAATTATACTTCAGAAGTTAATTTAGTATCAAAAACGTAAAATATTTGAGTAGCCCAAGACATAGCCAAAGATTGCAGCGCCACAGCACTGGCGAAAATTTAAATTTGCCGACTGGAATTCTTTCGGATGATTGACATTTCGGATTATTGACTTTCAGATAATCGACGCTCTACTGTACTCCTAAAACAAAGATGAGACACAGGAAAATACTGAGTCCGACAAATCTAGTATATCGCGTATCGTTAACAAAAATCTCCCAACAATAAACTAATCAAGCACATGTAACATGACGACATAGAAACATACCAACAGAAATGGGGTTTTGTCATATCTTTTCCTCTCCTTCACTCTGGGTAGAAAACAGTTCCAAATTCTGAAATCTCACACGGACTTGCTTGCACAGTCTTTATACTTTTTTCATGCACTTTCACCACCACTCTTACTTTCCTACTTCCCCATTCTCTGTCCACTTCCGTTCTGCCCTTCTCCCCCGAGACACACCCTACCATAAAACTCCCACCCAAGGTTACACACCCCAGAATTACATAACTCCTCTCCACTGAATCGGACCCACCATGTAGCGAAGGGAGGCAAGAAAAGACGTAAGGCACATGCTAACATTAACTAATAATTACAATAATTTTTAAATTTAATTTAATAATTTAATTTAATTTTTATTAAATTTAATTCAAAACAATATTTAACAGAATCAACACTAAAGATGACATTATCTTTTTTGCTTTATTTTTTAAAATCTATAATGTAGAAATCTGTTTATCCCTGTACTCACCAGTTACCTCCTAATTTGACTGTAAATGTTTAGAAGCTGTTCCAAATTATGAACATTAAGTGTAAAAATAAATAAATACAATTTATTGTTTTTATTTTATCACAAATTTCCTTTAAGTAATAATAATAAAATGAGAAAAATTTTAACAGAAAATAATTTTATCATAAACACTAAAATTTACTGTTTAATTTTGTTCAAAATGGAATAATCCAAAACTTCTTAAAGAACTTTCATAAATAAATCTCCAGTAAATTATCACCTTTAGAATGACTAATGTTTTCAATCCTCTGTCTTGATCTTCATCAGGTTAAGTGTTCTAGAATCAGAGTGCTTTGAACATTGTTGCTGATTCCATTTTTTTTTTTAATGTTGTTTATCAAAAAAAAAAAAAAAAAAAAAAAAAAAAAAAAAAAAAAAAAAAAAAAAAAAAAAAAAAAAAAAAAAAAAAAAAAAAAAAAAAAAAAAAAAAAAAAAAAAAAAAAAAAAAAAAAAAAAAAAAAAAAAAAAAAAAAAAAAAAAAAAAAAAAAAAAAAAAAAAAAAAAAAAAAAAAAAAAAAAAAAAAAAAAAAAAAAAAAAAAAAAAAAAAAAAAAAAAAAAAAAAAAAAAAAAAAAAAAAAAAAAAAAAAAAAAAAAAAAAAAAAAAAAAAAAAAAAAAAAAAAAAAAAAAAAAAAAAAAAAAAAAAAAAAAAAAAAAAAAAAAAAAAAAAAAAAAAAAAAAAAAAAAAAAAAAAAAAAAAAAAAAAAAAAAAAAAAAAAAAAAAAAAANGGAAACCCATCTGGCAACACCAGAAGCAGAAGCGTCGAGATATGGCAAAATTGAAACAATTTTCGCGAAGGACCATGTGTATGGAGATGAGAAAAGAAAATTTACACACTGAAATACTAATAGTTCACGAAAATAATAATTTTCGTGAACTATTAGTACTTAAGTATGTAAAAATTTATTACATTTCATGTTGTACGAAGGTTTTACCCATTTCTCGAACCGTGTCAGAGTGAATCCGTGCTATAAAAGTACCGTGTTATACGGGGGATGGTACCAATTCTCGAACTGTGTTAGAGTGAATCCGTGCTATAGAAGTGCCGTATTATACGGGGGTTACCTGTATTTCCACTCCAATCTGAGGAATTGTGAGTAGGTCAAAATAGAACCTTTTAAACATGGTTTCATCATAAGTTTTGCTTGTTTTAATATTTTAATTTTGTGACATATCATCAGTTATTTTTAGAATTTTGTTGCAAGTCAATAATTATATGTTTGTTCAAATCATTAATGTTCTTTAAATACTACTGTACTACTATTGTAACTGGAGAAACACTGAACTTCATATTAAACCCATGCTCCAGCAGTAAAATTCAGTATTTGCACTGTTAGAATGAATGTTTTTGGTGGTCTTAAGCCCCATTTTCAGAATTCTAAAGTCTTTCAAATGTAGAACAATGCTTGTAATGAATATAGAATAATGCTAGTTTTTGTTGCATCCCAATTGCGCAACCTGATCCCACTTTAAACACAGATAACCCATCAGCTATCAGCACAAAATTACAGTAATAGTTTATTGTGAAAGTTACTTATTCTAAATTACCTCTTTCTGTATTCTTTTTGCTTCTTCTTCAGTCTCAAATGTAACAAAACCATAACTGCAAAAGTAATACTTTTTATATTAAATGACTGATGAATTGTTAAAAAAAATTAAATAAATAAACACTAGTATATAAACTACTTTTACAACCAACATGTTTATATATAATGCATTGTCTGCTTGTGTAAAGAAGACAAAAGAAATAAATGTGATGTCAAATGGGATAAACCTTTAATTTTAAAATTTCACTGGATGATAAATAATTTTTTAATAAAAATACACAGTCGTTTCCAAAAAAAATTTTTTGGTCGATCACCATTTATTTCTTTAAAATGTTCCAGAATAAACTTCGGGCGATCCCTTTCCTTTTAGGCTACATGGCCGCACATGAAACAATTACTTAAAATACAGAAATAATCCAATTTAAAAATAATATAATAAAAATATGTTTCATGTGCAGCCATAAAGCCAAAAAGGAAAGGTCAGGTCGAAGTTTATTCTGGAACATTTTAAAGAAATAAATGATGATCGACCAAAAACTTTTTTTGGAAACATCTGTGTCTTTTTATTAAAAAAATGGGATAAACCTATTTTTCAAAGTTAAAATGTTCAAGACTCAAAATAGTTTTATTTAACCAATTCAAATAGGATTTAAAATTATTAATAATTATGACATAAGCTTATACTTGAAAGTTTTTCATAGTAAAGAAATGCTGTAAACTAATTTATTACATAATGGAAATGCTAGTAAATAAAATTATTAACTCAATTAAAAACTTCAGATAAGGAGGTGTTAAAGAAATTAAAAGAAATATTTTATTTCTGCAAGCGCTTTCGACGTAATTACGCACGTCGTCCTCAGGCAGTTTGAATAACACAGAGATTTTGAATGAAATATTTAAATTTAAACAGTAATGACATTAGCTGTTTTTGGAACATAACTTTTAATACTAAGTAAATTTTAAATTAAAAATTTTTGCAAACATGTAAAATTGACACACANTTTTTTTTAATGTATTACTTAGCTTTAATTTGAGTATGTTTTTCGCGTTGGAACGAATTATTTGGTTTTACATGTAATAGTATGGGAAAAGATGATCCACCTTACGACATTTTCATGATACGATCTCAGTTTCGGAACGGATTAATTTCGTATCCTGAGGTACCACTGTATTAACTCAATTAAAAACTTCAGATAAGGAGGTGTTAAAGAAACTAAAAGAAATATTTTATTTCTGCAAGTGCTTTTGATGTAATTATGCACATTGTACTCAGGCAGTTTGAATAAGAAAGAGATTTCAAACGGAATATTTAAATTTAAACAGTAACGTCATTAGCCGTTTTGGAACAAATTTTAAGAATAAGTAAATTTTAAATTATAAATTTTTGCAAACATGTAAAATTGACACACATGTGCCTTAACATACATAAATGTAAAAGCCGATTGAAATAGCACCATAAGTGCACGTTACATTAAAATATAAATATAAGAACATGTAACATAATTTAAAAATAAGTAAATTTTAAATTAAAAATTTTTGCAAACATGTAAAATTGACACACATGTGCCTTAACATACATAAATGTAAAAGCCGGTTGGACTAGCACCTTAAGTGCATGTTACATTAAAATATAAATATAAGAACATGTAACATAATTTAAAAACACATGTAATGTTTATTAAGATACATGTAAAAGACTGACATGTATGCACCTTAATCCACATTGGAGATGCGGGAAATGAATGCAGAATTATTGTTGATTTTTTAAATGTTTATATAAATTAGTCCAAACATCGGGTAATTCGAGGGTAGGGGAGTTGCATGGGGAGAGAAGCTTAGTGAGGAGGGCCTCCCAAATATACAGCAAGCTCCCTTCATCACAATGTTTGAGTATTGCCACCTGATTCTAACGTGCTGTGTGGTGATGTTGTACCACCAATTTGGAAAGGTCAGTATCGCAATTGCTTGGTGCGACTGTATGTTGGTGTTCAAATATGCAAACGGCCAGCATTCTGGTGGTCGCACCTATATAATAGGTGTATAGTCTTGATATAGGGTTTTGCAGGGGAATGGAGTACACAACCAGATTGTTCCAGGGTGGAAATAGCATCCCTATCATTACACAAGAGTCATCTCAGACTTGGGCGTGGTGCTATGGGTAAGTGAAAGCCATTTTGCCTAAAAATCCAGCAAATCTCGGCTGTGAGGCAGCTGCAGTATGTGATGCAGCCTTAATTTGAGGTGTTTTTTGTGTTGGAACGGATTATTTTACATGTAATCATACGGGAAAAAATTATTCACCTTATGACATTTTCATGATACAATCTCAGTTTAGGAATGGATTAATTTTGAATCCTGAGGTACCCCACAAGCATAACTTAGGACCTTGCTAAACCTTAAAGAATAAAAACATCCAGAAAATTGTCAAAAAGAATAATGTAAAAGGTTAGCGAGTATTGTCGGAAAATAGGCTGCCAGAGACATAGAAAAAGTTTATTGTTAGCAAATAAGTATGTAAATGAGGGGAGTGATCGCACTCAGAACTGTGACGTCACCTCACAGTATAAAGACCGAACCTCAAGTGAAGATGGACGAGGTGAGCTTCTGTTAGCAACGAGCGTGGTGAGCTTCGTAGCAGCAAATGAGAGAGAGGTGTCTGATAGAATAAAATAGTTCCAAGGCGATTTTGAAGTTATTTGATTTGTGGATAGAAGATTAGAGAAAGTCTTGAAAGTTGAGGAAAAAGGTTCCTAGTATATTGAGGTGATGATTAGGATCTTTAATTCATAAGAATTATTGTATATAAATTAAGTCTTTGATTTTTTTCGAATTCCAAAGGGGAATAGAATTAAGTTAGAAAATTGAATGAGTTTTGTCGGGTTGATTCTTATTGATTTTCATTGAATAAACTGTTACTTGATTTTTACTAAATTTTGTATATACAGTAGACCCCCCTATAACGCTTAGATACGTTCCACGCTAAGCGAATTTTACGTTATAGGAACGATTAAATACATGATCCAATCGCAGCCCGATAGGTGGGAACTTTACGGACTAAGGCTGTTCGAAAGGTTTTCTTCTATAAAATTAACCGATTCTAGACTAATTCGACTCAACATTTCCAAAACACGTATAATTTTTTGGGAATAATCCGTATAAACTATGCTATAAACAAAAAATTATAGGATTACTTACCGAGTGTGTACCGTTCGACTACGCCGTTGCTTAAAGCTGGTTTTCATCGCGGAACAGCACACGAAACGACGGCCGCAATTTCTGATAACGAATTTTTGGCGGAAAAATAACTTGACCTTTGGAGACATCATTAATATAAATAATTTTTATGGACGTTGAATAAGAAGTGTTTCTTTCACAAGAAATGTATAAAATTAGTGCTGTATTAGACTTACGGTACCTAATTTACATACTGTACAGACGATAATAAACTCAACTTACTAGCCTAAAATCTCCGTAGCGTGTTGCCAGGCGGCAGAAAGCATATATATAATTATAATAAAGTTACAATAAATTAAGTTAATATATAATTATATATACAGTACCTAATTTATATATAATTAATATATAATTATATGTACAGTACCTAATTTATATATAATTTATATATAATACTAAACAGACGATAGCAAACTCAATTTAGCCGCTCCGTAGCGTGGCGCAGGGTCGGAGGAAAGTAGTTCGGCTGCTCATCCACTATTGGTTCAGACTCTATCAATCTTGTCGCGAAACGACGTTATACGAAAGTTGCTACAATTTTTTCGCTACGTTATAGGAATTGTCGTTATAGGAACGTACGTTATAGGGGGGTCGACTGTAGTTATTATTAGAATTTTATTAAATATTTGATTGTTATTGACTAACTTTGTCATTATTTAATTCGGTGCACATTTAAAGTCCAGGCCTGGCACATTAACGTGAATCTGAATAAATTACCTGTTAGGGAACGGCTATTTCTGGCAAACAGTCGTGTTGATAATTGTTGTAGAAAGTCAGAAAAAATAATATAGTACTTTATATTACTAATGGCAGTTGATTGTCGTCCATCAGGAGGCCTATCATGGTGAGCACCTTTCCGTCCTTTGTTAACCAAGATGAGTCAAGATCTGAGGGTATTTCCTTTTGTAATATGTCCCATAACACGTCTTTTATCAACAGCAGTTCCATCTTATATTTCTAAATCTGATAGTAGTTGTTTAATTTGGTGATGGCAATGTAACTTTTATCTGCCATTGTGAAGTCTTTTGTGTTCTCACTGAATGTTCTTCTTACATAAATTTATATCCAGTTCACGTTATCTCTTGAATTTATCTTTTTCTCTTTACACTTAATTAATCATTGCTGTAGCTGGTTCATAACCTGTTAGACTAGATGTTGCTTTTCGGAGATTAGGAAAACTGGTTATACTCATTTAACTGGTTACTTGACAAAGGGATAAAGATTACACAAAAGATTATACTGACTTGACTCACAGAAGGTCAGTGCTGAAAAGGGGAGAGTAAAACAAGGTCACTGTCATCAATAATTCCCCAAGGGGTTAACCACAGTAACTCAGAAGTGCGTGGAAGCAATGAAGTCTAAGGAGATGCCATGTTTAAGATGCTGAAATCAATAATGTGTGACCAGTAAATGCAATTTTTATTTTATTATACAAGAATTTATGTATTATTTTATTTATGGTTTTCATGTTTAAATTTGTTATTAAGGCATTTAATTGTGTTATTTTTACCTTTAATTATGTATATTTGATGTTTTAAGTTATTAAAATGGGTGTTATTCAGGGCCTGGAAATGGATTAATTCACTTTCCAGTATTTCTAATAAGAAAAATTATTTAGACCTGAAATAATTTGGAGTTTGAATAATCTCCTGGAATGAATTAAATTTGAAGTACAAGGCACCACTGTATTTATTTTCATTGCAATAAAGTAAAATAAAAAAAAATATTTACATTTAGTTAATCAAGCTATACTAGATCACTAAAATTTTTTATTTTATTTATTTTTTTTACTATATTACACTCTTCCCTTGTGTAACTAAAT